GACTTATAATTGGACGAGTGAAGTTAACTGTGAGAAAACGATCATTGAAGGAAGTTCCAACATTTGTGAGATCCTGATTAGCATCAAACTGTGGTCCACCAGAAACTGACACATTTGATATCCACCTATCGCAATAATGACAATTTTATTGCATAATTTTACCACTATTAAGTTACCTATCTTCAACAAAGTATACCATACCATTATTTCCAGCAATGATGATGTCAATATTAGCCTATGTAAATATTGCAATATAGATTAAATCGTGCAAGTACTTACCAACATATCTGTAGTATCAATAGTAAATCCCACATTGTTATTAGAGAATGTCACAGCAGCATATTCACTCGTGTTTGCTGGAGCAACAAAAGTGAAGTTAACACTATTGTTACTTATGACTGTCCAGGAAACGCTTATTTCCTCTGTCTCATCTCTTAGTCTGCCAGTACATTGAGACAGAGAGAAAGCAAAAAGGCTATTCAAAATTGCAAACTTCAGTATGGCTATCTTCATTGTTGAAAGATGGTTAAAATGATCGTGATGTTGATCTGAAGTGATTCATATAGGCACGTAATCTGTTCTTTCAATGCTTCGGGGAGTTTGCACATAAAATCCATTCAAAGTAACTGAAAGTTAGATTAGGGAAAATTAGATCAGAACTGTAACTTTTTAGGCTACTAATCATTGGTGAAATATCTTAATCAAAAAACCCACTTGTCTTAATTGTGTATAAGGCTATTATAATATCAATTCTAAAGTCCATTTATTACTTTAGTTAGGCATCATAAGACATGCTTTAAGTATTCACATGAATATTGTGTTCTAATATGTTCTTGTGTCAGTGTTGTATGCTTTGTAAACTATACAAATTTGTGTACTGTACACTACCATGCCCACTCACCACACCTTATTAGTGTTTTGCCAAACGACTTCTATGATTTCAGTTTGTGATCAACAACTCTTAGTATTCAATTGTTATTTGAGTGCATAATTTGCCAGATTAGTGGTGCCCTCTGTCTCAAAAGTGAAGTTTTATTACAGCTAATATATCGTGTAGGCATAGAATTAGTCTTTAGGGAAATTTTATCTGTGTTTTTATTACGAAATAGCAACCATGCCTACAACAGCTGCCTTTTTGCTCTAAAATTTGTTTTGTAGTAATATTATTACACTGTTAATGTGTTGAGGTATGCATATTGATGTATATATTTGAGTTACATATGCAACTAACAGAGCTACCATAATGAGTGTTGGTAATATTGAGAAGCATATTATCACTCAAGTCACACTCCCACTAAGTGTAGCATTGCAAAAGACATTTACTTTACATAACAGTCCAACTGTAGTCAAATTTTTATAACACTAAATCTAGCTAGCTGTCCAGAAATGAACCACCAAATTGTTGTCTTGGCTTTTATATTCAGCCTGCTCTCTTTGTCATTGGCTCAATGTACTGGAGCATTGACTAACTCTTCACATCAAGTTAGTGTCTCATGGATGGTTGTTGGTGAGAACAGTGTGAGTTTTACTTTCACTGCCCCAGCTAATAGCAGTACGTATACTAGTCTGGCTATATCTGATCATGCAGTTCTATTAGTGAGTTGATTTTTCCTAATGTACATAAATTTAGTTTATCTTATGCACAGAATAACATTGATGTTGTCTATGCTGGGGATAATGAAACTACTAACTTTGTTGAAGACAGGTAAACAACATTGTACATTGTAGTTTATAGTAAATTGTTTTGAAGTTCTGATTGAGTTGATTACTAATAATAAATATACATTTATGTAACAGTTTATGTACACAAATGGACATATGTTGTTTCATGTCTTTAAAAAACAGAATTTTGTTTATTGTATTAAGTGTCATTTACTATTATGCACGTTTACATTGCGTGCAATGAACACAGTCAAGTACTGTAGTAATGTGTGTTTATAGTAAGTTTCCCCAACTGTTTTTATGCATCCTTATAGATGGATTGTAAACTTTATGTCACTCTATGACAAACAGCAAGACATTGAAGACACCAGTACTTTATTGACTGATGATGACCTTTTGATGGTCAATTTCACTCGTCCCATCATTAGTACTGATGAGGCTCAAGATACAAACCTAAATGCTTGCAAATACCTAATTTGGGCATATGGTGGTACTGTAGAGTCATTTAAATATCCGAAATTTACTTTTCAAAATCTTCCACGAGCTTTTGGAACTTTTAATGGTCAAATTTGTCTTCAATATTGTGGAGGTATTTTATGCCAGTTTTATGCTAATTTTATGATTTTTGTAATTTTATTAGTATCACCATCTCCCAGCATGTCTTTAATGAGTTCCAGTACACCTACTGTTTCACCATCATCTCAAACACCTTCAGCTGCTACCAACAATCATCCTGTCATCTTTATTATTCTTTTTGCTATTGTTTTGCTATCATGTACTCTTCATATTTGAGACCATTGATAGTTTAAAAGGAAGTAAACTCAATTAATATTATAGCTAGTTCAGTTACATACATAGTTAAGTTAGATATACATCTATTTTATCAAACATTTTTTGTCAAATTAATATTCTCAATAACTGTTAGTTGATGACAATGTGTAATCGTATACATACACTGTGTATATTGTTGTGGGTGGGTGTATGAATATGACACTCAGAGATAGAGTTTATAAAAGCAAAAGTGGGCGAATTATAGTTAGACAAGACAGATTCAAAATGCAAGAACTACTAAAGCTCTTTCTTCTAACTGGTCTCTTTACTCTTTCTTTAGCTCAGTGCTCAGGGAACTTTACTGATTCTGCACAGAATGTCACCATTGATTGGACTGTGATTGATAGCAACACTGTCAACTTTATATACACTGCTCCTTCTACTGAAACTCAATATACTGCTTTGGCTTTCTCTAACCAACCCATAACTGCTGCATCACTAGTTGTAAGTTGTATAGAAAGTTAAAAAGATTGATATAATTGTTTCATTCAGGGTACTGTTGCTCTTGATGCTGTATATGCTGGAAATGATGGGACTTATTCATTTGTACAAGACAGGTATAGTGATCAATCTATATGTATATGTAAGATTATTTGTAGTACATCCAGTACTATAGCATAGCATGCTTAATGATGACAGATTTCCTTTTTACATGCAGGTGGGTTACAAGTATAACCAATAATATGTTGGATACTGAACAAGATCTTCAAAATACAAGTGCTTTATTAAGTGATGGCTCTCTCACAGTTAATTTCACTCGTCCAATAATCAGTCCTGATAACTATAATCAAGATCTTGATCTAAACGTGTGTCAGTATGTTATTTATGTATTCAATGGAGCAGTAATGGGCTCATTTTCATCACCTAATCCTACATTTCTTCCTCCGCCTCCAACTGGATTTGGTATACTCCCCATGCAGTTGTGTCTTCAATACTGCGAAGGTAAATTGATGTTGCTTACACAATCACTGTGTTGTTATTGTTATTATTGCAGATGTTCCTTCCCCCTCTACTACTACTCCTTCCTCAACTGGTGCTGTGACAGTTAGTACAACATCTGTTCAAAGTTCTCCCTCAATTAGTACATACATTAGTGTGAGTGCTACTCCTACTGCTACTTCTACTAGTACTCCCAGTGGAGCTAGTGCAGGAATGATTGCTTCAGTTTTGCTTATTATGATTGCTGTTGCCATTGTCCTTCATGTTTAATACAATGTAGACTGA